CGACAGATCGGGAAGGGGCCAGACTGGGAGCAGCAAAGGGAGAAGGAGGAGAAGTTGGTGGCGGACATAATCGATCGGGTGAAAAGGGAGTGCGAGGCTCAGGGTGAAACGGTGACGAGACGAGGCTACTCCAGGCGATCCACCGTGATGAACAGCTAAGGAATGGATAAAGTGACGTATAAATGGGAAATATTGTGCCATATCATCGTCGTACGATGTCCTCCTCGTGACACGGGTCGAAGAACCTACCCCCTGCCGACGCTCGTCCCACACACACACACACACACACACACACATAACTCCTCTTCCCCCACTCCCGCGTATTTTAGCCGGATACGAGAATAACCCTATTATTACCAAGCGAATGAGAGTACTTTTAGGAACAAATGTTTAAAGATCAAATTAGGATTAGTTTGGACACGTGTTTACGGCGTTCTATGCTCAATTGTTATCGTCGAAATGATATCGATCTTGTCTGCGACGATTCGATCGTGATCGCACGTCGATTCGCACGAGGGATCATTGAAGTAATATTCTCTTATCTAATATATATATATATAATAATATAATATATATAAATATATATATATATATAATATAAATATCTTTTTTTAAAGATGTTCAATTTCCGATGCATTGAGAAAAATTGATAAATTAATCGAATTCGAAATGGTGTAAAATTATTGAGCAACGGAATCTTTTTCCACGAGAATGTTACTCGTAAGTCAGTTATCCCTCGTTATTTGTCGATATTTCCAAGTCGTCGACGTTCGTCACGAGGTCATCGTACGATCGATTCAACTTTTTTTGCCGCTATATATGTGTATATAGAGATGGGCCATTTAACGTAAATTCAATTATTTTCGTTATTACTCGACAACAATTTTTTTCTTCCCCCCTTTCCCGTCATTATACGACAAAACAATTACACGACGTGTAATAACGTTACATGGTCCATCCTATGTACGTGCAGCGTAAGATGGCGAATATACATCTCGACGTATTAAAGAGGCGAGCGTCGGTAGGATGACGATGGATGGTTTTCGATCGCCGAAACGAGGATTACAAACGTGTCTAGTCATAATGCACGCGCGGCCGCGTATATTTTTTTCGTATATCTGAAACGACCGCGCGTTGGTACATTACGATACAACAAAAAAGAAAAAAAAAAGAAAAAGAAAAAAAAAAAAATGTATTTACCAGTTCGTACGCGTGATTCGAAAATGTATTGAACACGGGGCCTGGTAATCGCGTCCAATGGCTGCAGCTCGAGAGAAAAATGAACGTAAGTAACGTATACACGTTTCTCTCCTCGTTAAAATTCTCGATCGTTGGTCGATATCGTTCCTTTTGATCTCGATAAGTTTCGCGGATCATCTAATCGCAGCGATACGCGAACGAAAACGCGAAAGTATAGCCGATATGTAGCGAGGAAAAGCGGTATTTTGCGTCTCTTGTCGCCGCGATGGCGTAGCTGTCGCCTCGTTTTACCGTGGCTCGGTAATGTCGGTACGTTAGAGTGGCCACGTGTGTGTTCGAAGTATTTTGTTTTTGTTGAAATTCCGGATTTTATTAAGACACGACGTTTGTTCGCGAGAAAATTCTTAATCCTGTTAATCTCTCTATCGTTGCAAATGATATATTTGAACGATAAGCATTAATTCTTATAATAATCACATCAATGTGTCATCGATATATTTGAACGACAAAAATATGATTTCTCGTAAAATAAAAAATAAATCGACATTACTGATCCAAGGTCGAAACGATCGTACTTTATTATTAACGCGAGATGAATTGCGATTCGAGCCTGAGAAGCTCAATTGACGGGAATCCAGTGCCAAATATATATCTTTCCAGGCGTACGATATCTCGTTGCGTATATGCGAAATGTTCACTACGATACGCGATGAGAGCGATCGTTTGCTCAAAAGTGCAACCGTACTACTAATTTCCTTCGATTTTGTTCCATTACTTTTTCATTTTATTACATTCGACGTGTGCAGGTGTTGCGTGTTATATCGTGATCCGCGTAGCCAAATATGCTCCTTTTTGGAAAACATCGTACAGCGATGGGACGCGTGAACGTCACGCGTGAAATTCATAGAAATTATATCGGTATACGGGTATTGATACGTGTAAGTCGCGTGAATGACGTTCACGAAGCTTTCCATTCGAAAAAAAAATAAAGTTAAATTTCAAAGGAGAAAAATAACTTGAGCCGAGTTTTATAACGTGTTCGACACGAAATTTTATTACGTATAATTTAAAATTATTCCGACATAATTTTACGATGCTTTAAAAGTTATTAGAAATTTACAAATCGTATTTTTAGAAAATATGATTTATCTCTTTACGAAAACTACCAAGTAGCTCTTATTTTAAGGCATTTCTTCTCATCAATTTTCAAAATCGAACAAATATCGAATAATACACAATGTACACAAATTTTTAACGTGAAAGTTTTTTATTCGTTTTAAGAAAATCTAACGTTTCGAATATAATCTCTTAAGAGCGTAATTTTCAAGAGTGGCCTAGTTACTGCTGCCACCATAAAATTTTATTGTTGAAGTATGCGTGGAGAGCGTCATACGTGACGATAAAAATTTCTTTATTGCATTATAGCTACAAGATTCGGAGGATGCTATTAATTCTTTGGATCGTGTGATTTTAATAAAATAATAAAAAATCTTTAGATGAGTACAAAGATTAATAAATTTCTTATACCACGCTAAAGGGATTTTAAATCTTCAATAAGCTTATTTAAACATCTTTATATTCGTCTAGAGAATTTTTGTTATATATAATATGTGTATATATATATACATTTCTCTTACACACGAAGAAATTACATTTGTTAATCTAAAAAAAAAGATTTTTGTCGCCATACGAATCGTGCTAATTAAATTTTTCTCTAGCCTCTAATACATTATATAAATATTGGGTGGCAATAGTTGCCAGGTCATTTTATATTTATCGATACGATCTTTTTATCTTGATAACAGCAATTACATAAATTAAAATTTTATCTAAAGCGTATATCAAGTAATATATATTTACAATTAAAAATTTTATTTATTATCCATTTTAAATATATCGCCTAAAATTTAAAAAAAATTATGCCAACGTGAGCATAAATAAGCCTAACATTGGCTTAAAATTTAATTATAACGTCTAGTAATAAAATAAAACTTGGATCTATTTGAAGAATCATGAAAATTGTAAATAGAAATATTTTATGAATATATTCCTGCATGTAATTCGTTTTTGATCGTGTACAAAATTACGCGATTCGATATACACGCACCTGACATACTCGGACAAGTTAGTTGGGCACGAATAGTGTCGCTAGAAGGACGGTAGATAGATCGATAAATAGATGAAAATATATCTATACGTGCGCGAAGTACGAATAAATATAATATAATGCGCGCTGGCGATAATTTACGCGAGAGCATTATATATATTAATCTTGCTGAATATTCCAAGAAAGTCTGTCCATTTTTTCGAATGTCTCGAAAGTATTTTAATCTCTATTTACTTGTTGCGTGTCATACGACGCAACGGCAGAAGAATGAATTGCGTTTCACTCAAAGTTTTAAACACATAATTACAATTAGTAGAGTAGATCGTGCGTGGACACTGTTATACAGGTATGACGCGTACGTAAACTGACTAGTGATTAAGTTCGGTGCTAATCAAGAAAGATGTATAAATTGTACACATCGTTTTATTACAAAATAACGATTGCATCAATTATGTTTTTTTTTCGAAACAAGCGAATAGGTTTAACTCTTTGAAGGAATTCGAATCGAAATCTAACCTCATTAAAAGTCGAAAAAACTTTCATCAAATTAACCATGTCATCTAGATGTTATATTTTACCTCTAATTTTTTAATAGACAAATATCTTGATGAAAATATACTCAAGCATCGCTCGAATAACACGTGATGAACAAAACGCATGCTTCACGTGTATAACCTAACCTCCAAAGAGCTAAGCACAATTCACAATTCAAGAGGCAACTCTCTTCTGACATTGCGCGAATGGATTTTGCACGTAATTATGTACAGGCGCGTATTTGCCAGCAAACCTCTGTACGTATACCATAATTTTAATCCTATATGTGTGCATAACAACATTTGCGTGCACACTTTGACGATTGTATACGGACAGAGGACATTAATCGACTTCTGTCGAGGTAAAAACACGAGCCACTTTTCGTCTTCCTTTTCTTCCAAATACATCATCAAATGTGTTTATTTTAATAAAATTACCCAATCGACTGATCTAACGAATGCTTATGATTTGTTACGAGTATTTAATTAATTAATAAACTTTAACGGATTTAATGGATCTAGATAATAGACAAGATGTAAAAATTAATATAAATTTACGAATACTCGAGAAGAAAGACTTAAAAGTGTTAAATCAATAATAATAATAATGATTTCACGTTTCTGGGACGTTTTAAGATAAACCGCGCGCAGGTCGTGCCATAATTTATAAACATTTCTCTCGGAATTCTTAATGCGCCCCACTAGCAGTGAGAAGTGGAAATAAATGATTCAGAGGAAAAAGTGAAACTCATAGATGTCTCACGGTACACTTTGCGAAGCACACATCTCGTGTTTTGTGCCAATCCATGTTTCAAACCGCCCAAATGATATTTAAATCTTCCTTCCTACAAACAGTTATTCTTTTTCAAAACGAAAATGAAAAATAATAGGTCCAACGAACGTATACGATCCATTTGAAAATTAATCATTGATAAATAAAATTTGAAAGGATATAGCGTTTAATATATACTATGTAATATATATGTATATGATAATATTGCATAAATCAGTTTTGTGCCCTAAATTATTTTACTTATCTTGTCTACCCTTGCTATAAAAATTTCAAATCTACCATTATCAGTCGTCTTCCTTGTTATTATATTACGTAATAAATTATGACGTTAATACAAATGTATATATATTATGGTATATAGATATTTGTACAAATGATTTGTAGTTTATTTCCTCGAGCAGAGTGTATGTGGTGTATAACTAAAGTGACCTTTTTCTTCTTGATACGATACGAGTTAGAAAAAGGAATTGTTGATTTCAATCAGAAGAATGAACGAGACAAGTAAAACGGGCAAAGTTCATTCGATCGTGCTATCAGATCATAAGATCATTTTTCTTTAATGACAGACTTTTTTTGTTTTATGATGGGTAGAATGATATTAAATACCGTTGAAATTACGAGAAGACGAAAGAGTGGCTCCCTCGATATATTTCAATCTTCCGTATTGAATCTTAAGTGTTACTAATCGTAAGATCGTAAGGCTGACCTCCTACGTCTAATATGACGATTCAAGTTGAGAGTATTCCGAGGAGATAAATTATTTATTTGTTTACGATAATGAGGCCGTTTGTGAATCGTATTTCGGGCAACTCGCATACACTTGGAAAACTACCATTATATATTATGGAGATAATGATGACCGCCCGAAGGTGCGACCCCGTCTAAAAGTGCACGAAATTCACGAGCACGTATGTACTATATAATTAAAACAAAAGATATAACAAAACCATAGTACTTACGACAACGCTAATCATCTGCGATGAATAAACATTACAACTAATGATGAATGAAATGGAACGTATTGTGCATTATATGTCGGGAAAAAAATAAAATCAAAATGAATCGATTGACATCATGTTTTTTCATTTATAACCTAAAAAAATTTCTATAATTTTTATAGAATTATTGTTATAGTAATAATTAAAATTTCTATATTAATAAAATATTTATAAATATTTATATTTTTTTATTATTATATATATTTTATATTTTTATTTTTATATTTATTTTATATTTTAAAATATTTTGTTACGTTACATATAATTATATAATATATGTAATATTATACCAATATTATATCAAACATTTTATTCTTTATTTATTCATTCGTAAATTTGTTGGTAAATAATTTAAAAATTATACTTTACATTTTGAAAATAGACTTAAAAATGTTCCCGCAAATTACAAAATGTTTAGATATATCTTCATAGATGGCAGTAGTAATATACATCAGTTTCAAAAGAGTTTCCTTACTATTCAGAACGTATTCGCCATGTTCTGTTTACAGTACTGTAGTCGCGTCCATCATCGTCGCTAGGTACGCTTATTTCCTCGCTCTTCCGTTCAGTATTATTATGTCTCGCACGATTCATTGGTGATGTTCGAAGGCGTGGTGCATTCGCGTATTTTCGAAAGCTACTTCGCGTGACGATTGATCTCGGAAGTGGCGGTCGACAAACGATACGCAACAATGATTCCGCGTTACGCGATCTATGTTTTTTCGGTGGCCGTGTTCAGTGTCAATGCTCTTCACACGAAAGATCCGTTGGCTCATCACGGAAGATGCGAACCGATCACCATCAATTTATGCATGAATATACCATATAACGAGACGATTATGCCAAATTTAATGAACCATCAAAAACAAGAAGATGCCGGCCAAGAAGTACATCAATTCGCGCCTTTGGTTAAAATGAAATGTAGCCCTGATCTTCGATTCTTTTTATGCACGGTTTACGCGCCTGTATGCACCATTATCGATAGAGCTATACCTCCGTGCAGATCGTTATGCGAAAGTGCTCGTGCAGGATGCGAACGCTTAATGAACAGTTTCGGTTTCGCTTGGCCAGACAATCTCGATTGTTCCAAGTTACCTGAAAACGGTGGCCCTGAACTATGCGTAGGTCATAATGAAACTACACCACCGGAACCGTCGCCACCGGTATATACACCACCACGTATGCCAGTAGCTGAATTTCAACCATCCTGGACCGGAGGACCTAAAACTTACGGTAGTGGATTTATGCTTGGTGCAAGGGACTTTGGTTTTGTATGCCCGATGCAATTCAAAGTCCCGCATGAACTCGGTTATTCGCTGAAGGTTGGCGATAAAGTTGAGCTTAATTGCGGCGCACCTTGCGACGGAATGTTTTTTACCGAGAGAGAAAGACGATTTTCAAGGATTTGGGTTGGTACGTGGGCATCCGTTTGTGCGGCTTCTTGTTTTTTCACCTTTCTGACGTTTCTCATTGACACAGATCGGTTCAGGTAAAAAAAAGTTGATTGTTTCATTCTAATAGTATACATATAGTAGACCTATGTAGGATGCATAATGTAGGATGATCAGAAAAAGTTATACATTATTAATTAATGTCATACTTTTAATTTTAATTAAAATAGTAATAATTAGATTCAGTAATTAAAAACGTATACTTAATTTAAAATTATGAATTTAAATTATTGTACATGAATAGTTATAAATTCTATTTTTTTTATAAAACATATTGTAATAGATTTTGTTATAATATTTAAAAACAGAAAATACATATATATATTTATAAATTATTATAATATATTATATTATATTTAGGTATCCTGAAAGACCAATTATCTTTTTGTCAGTATGTTATCTTATGGTAGCATTGGCATATGTGATTGGTTGGGCAGCTGGCAATTCTATTGCATGCAGAGAACCTTTTCCACCTCCTTTAGATATGAGAATTCAAATGGCATCAACCATAACACAAGGTACCAAGCATGAATTATGCACGGTACTTTTTATGGTACTTTATTTTTTTGGAATGGCATCCAGTATATGGTGGGTTATCTTGACATTGACATGGTTCCTAGCAGCTGGATTAAAATGGGGTCATGAAGCAATAGAAGCTAATTCACAGTATTTTCATTTAGCTGCTTGGGCTGCTCCAGCAATAAAAACAGTTACTATTCTTGCAATGGGAAAGGTAGAGGGTAAGTCATTTAAACATGAATACAAAAATTATATAATATAATTTATATATTTTTGATTAATAATTAATAAATCATATTATTTTTGTAGGAGACATATTGTCTGGTGTTTGTTATGTAGGTCTTTGGAATGTTGAAGCTCTACGTGGATTTGTTTTGGCACCATTGTGTGTCTATCTAATACTTGGAACTGCCTTCTTATTGGCTGGATTTGTTTCTCTTTTCCGTATACGTACTGTTATGAAACATGATGGTACAAAGACTGATAAATTAGAAAAGTTAATGATACGTATTGGCATATTTTCTGTGTTATACATAGTTCCTGCATTGATTGTCATTGCCTGCTTATTTTATGAGCAAGCCTATTTTGATCAATGGATGTTGACATGGAATATGGAGATGTGTTCAAGACCTGGACCGCAATCTTTATATTCAATGCCGTGTCCTGTTGGAGAGCGTACTCGCGATGTTGGAAGACGTCCAGAATTTGAGGTTTTCATGATAAAATATTTAATGGCTATGATTGTTGGTATAACAAGTAGTTTTTGGGTATGGTCAAGTAAAACATTGACTAGTTGGCGACAGTTTTTTAATCACATACAAGGACGTCGTGCTGAGGCGTATGTTTAAAAATTCAACTAATTACATGCTATAAAAACGAAAAAATTTTGCCTTTTTGAACTGCCATATCGAATTACTGAATGTCACGCTCAAAGAATACTCAAATACTAAAAGCATGTATTTTATTGCATTTGATAAAATATCTCAATTCATATATAATGTTACTAAACTTAATTTATCGGAAAGAGATTTGAGTAACGAAATATGCATTTTAGTATTATTTTTATATCTTATCAGTGCATTATAAAGAGTAACAAAGATATACAAATGTACTGTGCCAAAATATTTTTTTATTAAAATGATTTATATGTTTGTTTAAGCTATTTGTGAATCTTTCTGTTGTATTTTTATAAGAGTTGTAGAAGAACTGTATAAAATGTTAAAACTAATCATTGATTAGTTTGCAAGTATTATTAGACAATTTTTGCATCATATTTAAGTAATAATTTCTTCTTCTTTTCATTAATAGAAATCATAACTCATTATGATACAATAGCTCATCATTTTAAGTTATAAATGCTCAAACTGTTTACAAAAATGTGTTCAATGTTTATAAATATTCTACTTTTCTACTATGCACAAAAAATAATCATATCTCATTGTTTCAATCTTTTTATCTCGGGTTTGATCATTAATAAATTGAAAACAATTACGCTTACTAATCTCGCGAACAATTTTTATATTCTTACAAAACAGCTTTAGAAATATTTTACGATATTCAATTATAAGACTCCAAAAATATTTAAACATTTTTTTTTTTCTACTTCATTTAAGAATTTTATTAAAAATGTTTTTGATGATATTTTCTTTTCTTAATGCATTTACAAATATCTTGCCTTTATAGGATAAAGTTGGGGCAAGTATTATTAATAAGTCTTTGAAAGATATAAAATTATAAGACGTGTGTATTACTCTAGGTTAACTGAATTGTATATATATATTTACATACGTTAATTTTACTATGTACTATAATATATTTTTTAAAAGTTATGTACATATACATGTTTGCCAAGTAATTGGCATTTTCGTATGTTTCCTATACGTAATCAAATGTCGAAAGGCTCGATAAATGGGAGTCGACTCGAAAATTCTCGGTAAAAATTTGCGTACCGAGCGCAATCATTGTTCCAATATAACTGATCAATTCGTCCATTGAAACTGCCGAGCTTTTGTGTATGTCATATGTATTTACGGCGATTAATCAAAGAAAAACTTACTAGTAAAATTATTGTAATTACAGCCGTATAGTAACAACCGCCGTACTTACATTATCGTAGATGCGCTAAATATCATACATGAAATATACGTGACGTTGTGTAAAGTAATTACAACTTATTATATTCTTTATATATAATAAATTCGAATATATACATAAAAATAAATGATTTATATGTGTATATAAGTTTATTTCATCAAATTAACTTATACAATTTTTATAAATTATAAAGATTACAAAACATATAGTAATTATAATCATGCACTTAAGTATTATTCTTATGTACTTAATTTTACTTGCTTTGGAGGTTTAAGAATTCCGAGTTTTCTTAATCGTTTTACAAGAAATGGTGTTACACCTAATGTTATCGAAAGTCGAATGGGCGCTAGTAACTTATGAATACCGTATGCAACCAAAAAAGTTGACGAATTACCAAGGATACTTTCTATTTGTTCATTTTCTAATTTGAAAATGCTTTGAATGACAGGTTTTAAATCTATTCCTCTGAAATCAATATTTTTATAATCAATATTTGAAATCATTTTAATACGATTAATGTACAAGTTTGCTTTTTTCATATATTTTTGTAAAGTATATTTAACTTATTTTTAGAAAAAAATTAAATAATATTCAAAAATATTAAGATTTTATAAGAACATCGAAGAAAAAAAAAATTGCAAAAACAAACCTAATTACTGCTGCATAACAAGCACCCAAAGATACCAGAGAAATTCCTATATGAAATATGGTAATAGTAATTCCATAATCTTTTGCTATAATTCTTAATCTTTCTTTCTTGTTCAACAATTTTTTTTCTTCAATCTCCTGTTGTTGTTGTTTATCATTAGATTTTGATAAATTATTTAACGACATATTTGTTGAGTATCCCATACTATAGATATATTTTGAATTGTACATTGTTTGGAAAAGATTATTCACTGTGACATGACTCATTAGACCTAAGTAAAAAATTACAATTTTCAGACAATATTTTTTTGATAAATACTTTCTCATAAGTACAAGTTTAATTGATTTTTCATTATATATCAATTCATAAATATATTATGTACAAACAACCATTGTAAATTATATAGAAGTAACAAATATATTTTTAAAATATTTTATTTTCGTTTTATAACACTTGCAAATGAATCTTAAAGAATGCACAATTACGAATATTATTAAAATGTTTAATTTATAAAGTCAATTAATAAATCCATAAAAAATTCTTATTTCTAAAATTTGATTTTAATTTAAATCAGCATATATTGACAATAAACACAATATACATGATAACATACAAAGAATATAATAAAAAGTTATCATTTTTATTCTTCTTTCAATAAATTTCTAATATAATTGATATTATAGAATAATTGTTTTCAATTTTTTGAAATATCTTAATTAAATTTTTTATATAATTTTTGTTTATTTCAATCACAGAAATATATAATCAATTTTTGATTATTCTTATTGTAAAAGGATTAAAACATCTACTTGGTAAGTAATCAATGTCAAAAAGTAGTAAAAAAGATTTCGCGAATAAAAAAATATTTTCTTTTTATATAATTCGCATATATTAATGTTTTGATGTGGAAACTATAAACAATCAATCGAATATCTTTCGTCAAAATTTTACTAACCGCTTTTATTCAGTTTCAATTCTAAACGACTGCTTCTATAATGCGATTTTTGCATATCTTCGGCGATAAATTTTCCATCTCTGGCCCACTGACCACCTGGCATATTCAAATGTGTCGATTTTCCATTGGAACAAAATGGTTTCGGTACATTGCTTTGCATCGTGCCATTTAAACTGACTGCTCCAAAACAATCATATGAATCTATATGCGTGTCATTGCAGTTTTCCAAATTACTCAAATGTTCTTTCGGTTTTATTAATTGTTCCAAGGAAAATGATGTGCAATCATTCTTGCCATATAGTAATATCGGTGCGGCAATGTCTCGTGTTCTTTCAGGAGTAAATCGGCCAGTCTCATTTGCAAATATTTCAGAGATATTTGTAGGAAGCGGTAGAGTGGGCGGATCAGGATAACGACGGACACTTGTAATATGGAGATTTTTCATGCGATGCGCAGTTGCGTATCGTGTGTATTGTATTTCACCTAATGGCGTACGTGCTGAAAAAAATAAAAAAAAAAAATTTAATGAATCTTATGAATTATTTCAGAAATATGTAAAAAATTTCTACAAAGATTTAAAATATTTTCTTAATTTTTAATGTACGCAAAATACTTTAAGAAATGCATTGTTATGTAACTATATATAACTATAAAAATGAAATAATCATTATGAGAATATTCAATATTTTTGAGAAATAGTATAAAATTAATAAATAAACATGATATAATTTTTCTTAAAATATAACTTATAATATTTTTTTATAATTAAAATTATTTATAAATTTAAATATACTAAAGATAAAATAGATATGGTAATTTCTTTGTTGATACAAATATAATTTAATTATTTAATTTCATTAATTAATAATAAAAATAAGTTATAAATTTCATACCTGTATACGAGATTTGTGATAAAGTTGTTAATATATTAGGTGAATTGCTGATTCGTAATAACGCCATCTTAAATTCTTCAAAGCATTCTTATGAGTAATAGTTTTGTTGATATATTACATTACATATAAATGATATATTATATTACATATAAAATATATATTATATAAAATAAATACCTTTTCAAATATAAAAAGTAATGTTACAGCACAATTTCAAAGAAAGAGATTAACCTTTAAGAACAATTCCTACAACTCATTATACATATATAATTTTTGAATACATATTAATCTGTTAAGAATCAACAATGTAATAATGTAAAAATATCATACAAACCGGTTAGATCTTACATATATACAAGATCTTTATATATAAAACATATTATAAACTATTGATACATACTTACAATAAGTATTTTGAACAGGCATAGACTATGTATAGATTAGATTTGACATTCAATATCATATCACCTGGTGAGAAATCCAATTTTATAATAATAATAATATAATAATGACTCGTATTTGAATTTTTTTCAAATATAAATGAATAACGAATAAATTTTTCGAATAAAGGAGAAAGATTCATCCATTAGTATTTAAATAAAGAAAAATAGAAACAGTATAAAAAATTCGGAAATCAGCATTATCTCTAAAATATCTCGAATTAAATACAAATATAGAGAAAACAAATAACAAAAAAAGAATTGATTACTAACGTCATCTTTGTCAAAAATATTTCTTTAAAAAATCATTTTTTTAAAAACAATTAAAAGATGGCGATAATTCATAAATCTCACTCTTATTTTATTTTTGGAAAAATATTTTTTGCATTCAAAAAAATGTTGATGGCCAATTCTCATCTTATCTTTATTCTTCTTCTATTATCAAATTATATTTTCTTAATATAAAATTCAAATATTTAAATTTATATACAAGAAATTTGTATCAGAAGAATATAATTTAATATAACTAATTTAATATACTGAAGGTACACAAAATTTTTCGAAAAATTCCGAAGCAAAATTTTTTATAAAATTTAATATACTTACCTGTGAAATATTTACATTTTGTATATTTATAGTTGTCATCTTTTTTCAGCTTTGAATTATTTTTTCAACAGTTTCTTGATTCAACATCATATATGAGAATTATAACGAAGACTCTCATACCCAAAATACATTGACTCAAAAATATATTGAATATCCCGTTTATAACATCAAATATGCAATTATATGTGTAATTATAATTTAAAATTTATATTTTATTTATGAATAGTATGAAAAATTTTTATAACCAATTACAAGCAGCATAATATAGAAATGCATCTTAATACTGTGGACATTATAAAGAGGGCAAAAATTAATTCCATGTATTATATATATTTTTGATAACAAAATTTGTTAATATATCGAAAAAAGAACATTTTTATCAACCCTCATATATTTGCATTTAATACGATCAATTATTTTTATTAAAAAAAAAAAAAAAAAAAAAAGATAAATCATGTTTGAATTTCGTAACGAATACTTAAGAATTATTAAATAGGCGACAATATCAGTATTGCATAAAAAGTAATATAGAAAACATGGTAATAATGTATCACACAAGATTCGAATAAATTACGAATTGTATTATTTTTACGTATTATATTATTTTTTACCTCTCGAATGATGAAGTCCAGCTTCTAAACTTCTAAATGACAGACTTATAATGATAAACGCTTTAATGTTTGTCGTTTTCTTCTTTTCATTGTATTCGATAAATCATGTAAGCAATAAATCATCCCCATTATGAATCTCACGTATAAATTAAACGTCACACATTTTTAACGGGTTTCAAAAATGACGCGTCGAGCCGTGCTGAATTTTTTTTAATCATAGTTATTATTATCGTTAATATCCATATAATTATCAATAACTACAGTAAAACACAAAACAAAAATGGTGATATCTGTACATTTCTTTCTCTTAAGTAAGTAGTAACATAAACATTTTTTGTATACCAGTAGCCTATAATAGGAAGAAACTAAATCATAATATTCACAGATATTTTACAAGATAGATAAGACACGATGTAGACACACACGTCGCGGAAAATTGAATTTTTTATACATATAAAACTATTTTAAATGGAGCAGAAAAAGAGCAGAAAAATATTGAAGAAAAAAAAATATAAGATAGATATAGAGAGAGAGGGATGAAAAAACAAAAAAAAAATGGTACAAGATAATTAATAAAAATGAACGAAATAAACCGCAACGTGAACATCTTATTCGCATCCTATTATGTATACTTAATCGTAGCTGTAATATATATGCTTTTTCTTTAAACGCATCGTCGCTCGCTCACTTATACTTCTACACTGTACATATGCACAACGCATCTTTTACACTGTACATGCACACGCTCCACGAGTATCCGCGTTATCTTAAATTAATCGCGATTCTTAGGGATTGTCAGAACATTGCGTATGATTTGGACAATATATATTGTTCGCATTACGAGTACTAAAAATAATCTGATAACAACCGAAGATGTATTTACTAAATATAATACAATATCAATATACAATTCAGGTCATATATATCATTTTGATATTCAATAGAAAAAAAATGAATAATTAAAATTTAATTAATAATTACAGAACTTTGTATATCATACAAATTAGAAGGGAAAAACGAAAAACTGTGCATAACAATATTCGTTTAATCGATTTAAAATAATCGATGTTTCGAATCAATTGAACATGGTCGCAAGAAACAATATATGTTTTGACCATCCCTAATACTTTTATAAGGTTATTCTCTAGAGGCATGCGCTCTATGCGCAGCAGCAATAATATCGTAAATAGGTAAGTTTCTTTATATTACTTAATGTTTTTTTTTTTTTTTCATCCACGGCTCCGTGTGATATAATATAACTTCTGGTCTATACACGTAAGCGCATTATTATCCTCGATACGATTGCTAAAGAGTCTATGACACATCGCGCAGAAGGCGATAAAGGATAAGAGAAATGGGGATGGAAGTGTACAGAACGGGGCAACGTCAATGGTCAATGAGATCGGTCATACTGTATCCTATTCGTCCAATATGACATACTTTTGAGCCCCTTTCTTTTTTTTTTTTTTTTTTTTTTTTTTTTTAATATGCTGATTGGTACGTTCTAACTAGCCTGATGTAATAACGTTAATAATAATTGATAGCAGCGATAATAGTAGTAGTAGAATAGTGATAATAATAATAGTAGTAATAGTGGTGATAATAGTATAGTAGTAATAGTAGTAGTAGCAGTAGTGGTAGTAGTAATTAATAATAAGTAATAATAACACAATAATGACAATAATAGTAATAATGATAATATAATAATAATGATAGCCATACTAGTGATGATGATGACAGCAATAATGATGATAATGATGATAATAATAATAATAATAATAATAATAAAATGAATAATAATTATAATAATAATAAAGAATCAAAATAAGAATATTAAAAATTTGTTTATAATGTACATAGTGCTAAGATGATAATAATGATAATAATATGTTACATCCTGCTATGGGAAATTATATTACACTAGGATAAACACTATTTTAGGTAGTCCTTTTGCATGTTTTTTCACTAGAAGTCTAGATCATAACTTTACTTTCTAGTTCGATACGAGCAGCAGCAGCAACAGCGGCAGCAGCAACTATTGTTACAGGTAATATAATACATAGGTATTTATATAGAGCAATATTATACAAAAAACACATCACATACCGCGTGGACCAGACTCGGTCACCATTTTATGTTTTACTTTTTTTTGTTTTCTTCGTCTTTACGCAGATATATATCGTTAAATAATTAAAATCACAGTAGTTATGCCCTCGCTGGCTCGCTTATAATTTATACAGTATCATTAATATCTAAGCCTTACTTAAAATAGCTCGTGTATTATAGTGGTAGGGTACGTTAGTTTTTTTTTTTTTTTTTTTTT